ATCTTATTTAATGAGGATTTTAGGTATTTTTACCTATTCTAAGCCATTGAGTTTGAATGGAGGATTGAGAATGATTATGCTTGCTTCTTGGATGTTTGTGAAGAGTCCCAAGTGGTTAGGTGAGGAGGCTTTGGTCAAGGAAGGAAAATATCATATGGAAAGCTAATTTTTGCATTTTATGAAGGGGGACCACTTGGGTTAGGTTTGGACTAAACCAAAGGTTTAGTTTGGGTTTAAACAACTCTAAAAAGGTTATATAATTGATCAAAGTTAGCTCAAAGAGCAGACATGGGTTTGTATGAATTTGACCAAATTCAATCATCTCGATATTTTTGAAACTTTTAATTAATTTGACCACTTTTACTGGTCAAACTTGGTCAAGATGAATATGATAGACTATGGGGAGTCCATAGAAGATATTTTGATTGAATGCATGAGATTTTATGCGTTTGACCAAATTAGACCATTTTGATATTTTTAGAATTTTTAATTAATGTGACCACTTTGACTAGTCAAACTTGGTCAACATGATTATGATAGACTATGGGGAGTCCCTTGAAGTTATTTTGGATTGAATGCATGAGATTTGATGCATTTAACAAAAATAACTATTTTAACGAAGTCAGCTCGAGCAAGGTGGCCCACCCAAGCTTTAGAATCATCAAAGGCACCAAGGGGCTTGAGTTTGAAGATTTAAAGGAATGAGATTTGAAATTTAAATGACCCCAGCTAAAATGAGTTCAACATGTGTATGCGTGTACGCATGTTATCTTATACAAGAGGGTGTGCTGACTAGTTTTTCTTAAAATAAATGTTATAGTGTTGTTGACCTAATCTTTGTATTAGGTCATCAGGGACCATTCTACTGCCAATAAGACTCCAAATCAAGCCTTTAAATAGCCTTAAGTTTAATTCCTGTCCCATACTTCAATCCACTTTACAAGTTAACCCTCAATGTAGCCTTCAATCAAACTTCAAATCATACCCAGTTAACTACAATCATTATTTGATTGTAATTGATATGGATAGCTCAAAATCAATCAGCTAAACGTAGAACTGCATCCAAATCCAAAATTCCAGGTCAAAATCCAAGGTAAAGGGCCATTATCCTGAAACCCTTTATGAGTGCTTTTTTGTCTCCTTGAAACCTAGCCAAATGAATTATGATTCATGATCTATAAATTGCATATTATTTATACATGCCTCTAGGGATAGTCCTTTAAATTTGAGCTCAATCTGACCTCTCTAACCCCAAAAACTAAATTGATTTCTAAAGGCTATAAAACCTTAAAATATTCACAGCCTATGCCATTGGACTTGCCATTTAATGGAAATTGATCTTGGAACCTTTCTCAAAACCTTTGAACATGTTTATGACCTTTAATATGACACGTTGACCAATAAAATGCACTTTGCTGGACCCATTTTGACCCAGAGTTGACTAGGGGTTAAAATAACCAAAATACCCTTTAAGGGCATTTTTGGACTTTTCCCCAAAACTCAACATGGCTCAACCACATCAATCCATAAAAACTCTTCTATTGCATCCTTAATATTAAGAATGCATTAAAATCATACCCACCCATTGGTTTGACCTAGTTGACCAAACTACCCATCAAACCTTTAAACTTGCATTTCAACCAAAATCAACTCCCCTTACTTTGAGACTACTCCCATTAAGTTCATATGATCGTCCAAACTTAATGGATCCAACCTTTGACCCTAGGTCAACTTGGTTGACAAAGTCAACTAAGTTTGACCAAACTACACATACACCTTTAATCCTTTCAAACCCTTTGACCAAGGCTTTTCCAAACTCACTCAAACCCATGGGATGAGTCCTTAGGCCCCTAGGAGATTTCTCTTGAAAGCCCAAGCCTTAGGCTCACTTGGGTTAGCCACATGGCTTGACTCAAGTGTCAAAAGAGAAGTCTCCATGAGCTAAATATCTTCCTAAGACAAATTGGATCAAGTCAATGGTTGCATTAGGTCCCCCATGACCCAATGCACCTACCCTAGTTGACCTAGCCCTTAGGTGAACTCAGGTTGGGAATTGGGCTAGACTAAAGTGGCCAAATCCATTAAGGTTGAGCCATTTCCAAACCTAGGATTCACAAAGCCAAACAAACACCTCCATTGGGTGGCATTGGGTTCAACATACCTCCCCTAATCAATCGGCCCAGCTCATAGGCTGAATTGAGTCAAAACTTAGACTAGCCTAAAGTGGTCAAAATCACTTTTGACCTGAGCCATTTTCCACCATAGACCAGACCAAACCCAATTGACACTTGCGTTGGATTCTCATTGACCCAATAAGCTTGCATATCAATCTCACCACCTGGCGTGACCCAGGATACACCCAAGTTGACCCAAACTATACAAATTTGGGCCAACCTGAGCCACTTGATCGAATTGGGCCTTCCCATGCCAATTGACCGTTTAGTTGAGTTCACCAGACTTGCAACGAGGTTTCCACTTCATCCTGACCCAGCCAGTGCCTGCTGGTAGTCGAAACGAATAGGAGAAAGCTCCAGTAGTCCCCTCCATCTCGGGGCCTCTTCTAAAGTCTTACAGGGCCTGAGCTCGCTGGCCTCGAGCTCACGAGGCTGAGATAGGATGTCCCCTCCCACTTAGTAGCCATACAAAGTCTTCCAGGGCTTGAGCTTGCTGGGTTTATGCAAAATTAATATTTTTTATATTTGATTATAAACTGTTTTTAGAATATTTATAAATAACAATGTTTTTCATATGCAAAATTTCTAACATGGTGTTGCATCATCTTCATGTTCATAATTTTTTTTTCTTCACTCATAATCAAATCTTTAGGACCATCTACATTGGTGGGTGATATAGTATTAAACTTTCGTAGGAACTTACATAGTCTTAGAATTATGATTGTAGCATTTTCTTGATAAATAGTAAGACAAAATAAAAAATTTGATAGGAATGTCTGCCTTCTTGTATCTTTAATAGTTTTTATATTAATTTTGTTTCCACCCATCCTTGTATTTGGTACTTCATGAAAAAATTGTGGAAGTTGAAGAAAAGCAAGGGGCCAAATCCTCACTATTAACGAGGATAGTTCTTGTCTAATGTCTTCATGTTAAAAGTTGTATTAAAATACTAGTTTTATTGATACTAGCAATGGATTTATCTTGCTTGCTTGTTGTTGTTGTATTGATATCTTGTTAGAATGTATTTATTAGTGAGCCCAATTTTAGTGAAGGTTGCTTGATGAGAAGTTTAAAGCCAATAAACACCGGTAATAAGTTAACTATTTTTTTTAATGCATTTCTTTCGAGTTTCTTTTTATTTTGATGTTGGAAGAAAATGTCTTGTTCTAAAGAAAGTTCATTTCTTTTCGCAATTTGATGGTAAAGGCATTGTCTTATGTAAGACTCGTGCGCTTGTGCAAGAGCATCCTTTCATATAGCACGACCGTTTCTTAATTTTTTTATTATAGCTGAATTTCAATTATGATTTTAGCCTATCATTTTATTTTGATCTTTTAATTTCATATCTTTATGACTATAAAGTTTTATCTTGCAATTATTCTATATAAAATCTACAAGGCTTCCTACTCTTTTGTTGCATATATATATATATATATATATATATATTATCAACTCTTAGATAACTCTACAATTTGAATTGGATTGCCCCTTGTCTCTTGCAAGCTTATGCTTGTTTTAATCAAATTATGTAAATGTGTTCATCATATTCGTTTTAATGGATTATTGTATTCATTTTTAGCTCTAAATTTATATGCTTATTTATGCTTTATCTCTACCATGATCAACATGCTTATTATGTTATAATTAGGGTGTTTTATTTAATTTTGCTTAAATAAAAAATGTGCATTTTTTTAAATAAATGATTATTTAACTATCGGGCGAGCTAAATATGTTTATTTTTTGTGTCAGTCTTTATTGTTGTAACAAATATGTATTGATATTTTAAAACTATTATAATTTTAAGTTGTTTTGATGTAATTTAAAAAAAAATATGCAACTAAACATTTGCATGATGTCCATTTATATTCAAAAATGAATATTATTATTTGTTATTTATTAAGGAGTGTTGATTTTTTTTTTCAATTTCATGCTTACTATTAAATCTTAGCGGTATATTTCTACTATATGCTCCTCACAATTTCAGCCTTTCCAACACCTTCTCTTTTAAAATTTTGATTTAAAATATATAATTACATTTATTCACGTTGATTATTTATATTCTTATTTATATTTATAATTATCTTTTATTCATGTGCATGTCAAATATATTTTGCTATTCTTTTAATTTAAAACTTAATTAAAAAAATCTTTAAAATGCATTTGAAATTTTAAAAATATAAAATAATCACTATCTTTATTTCTTTATTTAAGAAAATATAAATTAAATATATTTAATTTTAAATTTCATTATAGAAATTATATATATACATTTTTATTTTATTTCGTGTGCACTAGATATAGGTGCAATTATACTAGACAATGCACGCGTATTTATTTGTCAATATTACATACCAGACAATGCAATTCAAGCAAAAATTCCATATCATTCATGTACATGTCCTGATGTCCTGCAGCTTCGACGAGAGACGAGTCGTCTATTCGATGGAGTTCCAAATAGTTCGGGAGCCACACATGCATTTCTTCGGCCATTACCCGTTTCGTATCAAGTCGGGTTAACCTGGAAAACTGACGGGTTGGGTCCAGATTGAAATTTATAGCCCATTTGTAAAAAATGGATTGGATTCGGTCGTATCAAATAGCGTCGGATTAGTTTAGTATTCGACCCGAATCTGACCCGCAATTCAATTTTGACACCCTGTTAGGGCTTGGGCAAAGTAAAAGGCCATATTCTTCACTTCTTGGGTGGGAGGTGGGGGGAACTTCACTTCTCGCTGTTATGAGTCATATAAAATTTCTTATTTATTTATTTATTTATTTTTTATTGTAGGAGGGTTTGATTGTTATTATTTAAGCTTTAAGACTACAAACAAATCCAGTCCGAGGGTTTGATTAGACGAAATTTTTTTTCTTTTTTTGGGGAAATTTGAGGGCATAACCCAGACGAGTTCCATTTTCCCTTTCTTCACCTTGGCCTCTGTCTGCGTCGAAACCCTCGACCAAGAGCCGGCGTATGCAGTTCTTCTATGAAGGGAGAAGGGAACATAACGTAGCATTAAGATGGAAATTTGCTCCTTTCTCCCTCCAAGCGATTGATCTATTACTCGTTCTTGTCCTCCAAGCATAGTTCGCAGAGTGAAAAGAGGGTTGAGCACTGCCGCGCGTCAGGCACTCGCAGAGAGTATGTCCTTCGAGCTGAAAGAACTCATAAGTATTTCTATTTCTCTAACAATCTTATTTTTTTCTTGCTCTATCCAGTTCTCGAATTGCATCGACGAGGTTTAATAATGCTGAAAAACGTTGGCTTTGCTTTCATACCCTTTGTTTTGAGGGATTGCGGGTTTCGTAGGAGTTAGGAAAAGCGTTGAATTTGAAGAATTTTCAATTTGGTGCTGCAGCTGTCTTAAATTTTTTAAACTTCATTTCTGTGTAGTATCAAAACTGCATTTCGTTGCCATGCTGTGTGGTTTTGAGGTTGTCCCGCTCTTTGGATTATTAACTTTATTTTTCTGAGTTAGATTGTGGGTTCTATTCCGTCATAGCGAAGTTTGAAAAGCCATGTGTTCTTCTTTGCTTGATTTACTCTATTTTAATCGTTTGATGATCTGCGCTCTTTCCTTGCAAATGGTCTACTAACAGACTTGAGTTTGCAAAGGCATCTCACTTGCATTTATGGTGATACAAATTGTAGGATTAGGTTGATCTTGATCTTATTCGAAATGAGCTTGTTTGATTCAATATTTTTATGCATTAAAACGATGAAAGGCAATCAATTATTTTGTTATCAATAATTTCTAATGGAGAGGGAACTCCTAAGAATTAGTATGTTTGATCTGCCTTCGTTTTCTTACATAATGACTAATTTTACATATGAAGAAACTCTCTCTCTCCATTATTTGGGTTTCTTCCTTAAAGGTAAAATGTTTTTCTGCTATTTGTATTATTTGTGCATTTATTTTTTGATGCTTTGATTTGAGCTCTGTTGAAATTTTTTTGTTGAGTTGATAGTTTTTCACTAAGAGCTAAGTATCATATGTCACTGTAAGTTACTCGGATAGAAGCAACTCTATTATCACCTAATTTAAGTAATAAATGTTATGTTGAAAACTTTGCCATTTAATTTCGGAACTAAAATTCCGTATGTTTAACAATTTGTTTGTCTGTCGTTAAATAGTTGGCCAGTATGCTTATCATTTGCTTTTTAACATTAACTTAATAAAGAATGATAATAAAATTTAAGGCCTGAAAAGTGAGAACTTTGAGCTATATCAATGGGTTTGAATTTATAAGACCTTTTCTAAGTATTTTATCTGGGAATCCAAACTTGCAACCAATTTGCATTTGAAATATCAACAATTCAAATGAGCCATTTTTTTCTATCTCTTTCCTTTCTTGATCAAATTCTGTCAGTGAGAAGTTGGTTAGGTATGCCTCCTACCAGTAAATGGATGCAAACATCAAAGTACAAAAAGATCCCTAAGAAACTAGGCTCCCAAAATGGTGAGATTGCAAGATTCAAGGCCGAGTTTAAGAGAAAAACAAGATCACATACACACAAAACAAAATTATAAAAATTGAAATAGTTTGCCAGCCCTAAGAAGGCTCTTCTCATGCATCCAACGTAAGAGGAACCATCTCATGCAATCCACCGATCAACTCTAAAATCCATGACCAAGCCTCCAAGCTTCATTTGAACCCTTCACTAAGCCTCCATTTGTTAGCCAATATTAAGTAATAATCCATGACCAAGATATACGGGAATAACAAAGTATCAATAACCATGCTGAAGTAGTTTTTCACCTCCTAAAGGGTTGGTTCTTCAAATGCATCTAATGTAAGTGCATCCAGTATTCCAAACCGTTTGCATATTCAGCCAGCAACTGTCCCCAAGAGAAAGAACCATGACAATACATAATTTCTCCCATTGCAACAGGAAAAGAAGCAAAAGGCACAATCCAGAACTGGGCTTTTCACCCCTTGTGACTTTCCAAATTTCAAAAATAGGTGTCAATAAGGCAATAAATCATAAGTCTCCAAGCTGAAACTATATACCACCTCCAAGGGGGTACTTCAGTTGCAGCAGATGTTAAAGAGTAGTTTGGCCATCCACTAAACTCCAAGGGCACCTTTCACACCATCCAGTTATAGCCTGGATGAAATAAAATGGACACACCAAAACCTCAATGAGATAACAAGATGTCAGCCCCTATGCTAATCAAATGCATCCGCTGAAAGAGCATTAAAGTAGTGTAAGTAGTAATTAAATAATTAGTTATTTCAGATAATGACTAAATAATTAATTAGATAAATATCAATATAATTAATAATCAAATACTTATTAAAATAACACCTAAATAATTAATTAGATAATTCATGCTTTAATTAATAATAAGATAATTAGTTAAGCTGTTTGATAATTAAGATGACTTCTAATTATATTATTTATAATTGTAACTCATTGACAATAATTAAAATTGGAATTAATAAGTAAGTCACATTTTAAAATGCTAATTAAATTCAAAACACAAATCAAATTTAAGTTTTGATAAACTAAACACCTTAAATCATGAGATATGCCGCCAAACAATTTCACAGGATTTATTAGGATTTAACATCTCTTTTGCCAAACAATTTTTCAGGATTTAACACACTCAAGATTTAGTAAAATTGGGTTTACATGATTTACTAAATCCTACTTGTTGCCAATCCATCACAATCATTCTAACCTAGAAATATAATCAAATCTAAACATGTTTACCAAATCAGCAATAGCCATTTCAAAATTTTAAGCATAATTAATATGATAGATTGGGTTGATTACTGGTTTTAAGGTTTAGGTACTTCTTCATCTTTTACTGAAATTTTATGTTAATTACCAAACCTTCCATAGACTCTACATGAATGAAATCCTATTTCAAATCCCTTTTATAAATTTAAACAATAACAAGTCCTTTTCATTTAATTTAGGGTTTCCAACCCTAGTGCTAGCTGAAGAGGAGGAAAAATTAGCAGAAAGGACCTTTCCATGATTGAAGAGGGAGATATGAGAAATATTAAATAGAGAGGCTAGGTGATGCAGTCTTTAATTAGAGTTCTAATTTTACTTCTATTGATTTCATTTTTAATAGTTTTTTTTTTTAAATTTTATATTTGTTAATTTTGTTGTAAACATGCCTATGATAATTATCCCCATGGATAACGGAACCATTCTTTAATGACTTTGTCGGCTTTTTTCAATTCGCTGTATTAATTTGCGCCAGTTGAGCTATTGATTTCTTTGTTAAAATATTTGTTCTTTTTGGATTGTTTGATCATTCTGCTAGGCATTATGTAGTAGTTGGGAAATTTTTCTTGCTGAATGGGTCATATTACTATTGATATCCTTGCTGTAATGTAACTTATCGCACTCATTCAATTTTCAAGAAACTTGGCTTCTGGTTTTGGTTTTATGATGATCTTATTAGTTTGGCTTTATTTCAGTTGTCTTTTCGCTCATGGGTGTTTGATTCAATTTAGTTGCAAATCTATATTCTCTTTTTCTTAGACGTTTTGCATATGGCCCTTGCTATTTTGACCTATTTTCTTTGGCTTGTGTGGTGGTTTATGGTACACTGACATTTAATAGTAAGGAGGTATGTAGTATCTATTATGTTTTGGACATGGACATGCATCCCACGTCTTCGACATGTGTTGGAGACTGCGAAGACATGTTTGATTAGAATAGTATTAAAAAAATTGGAGACGCATGCACTAAATATTTTATCAGCTCAACTTCTACGAGACTCCTAAGTCCAAGCTCCTTTCAAACAAAATGAGACATCATGTGATAGTTTGTTCAAGTCATAACCAGCTTTACAATCTACAGAAAATTTAAAGTGTTTGTTTCACTCTCTGCACAGGTAATATCACATTCAACTTGTCTTCATTCCAACCATTCAGCTAAAAAAAAAAAACCTTGACCTTAGCTGATGAGTGAGGAAAATTAGAAAACCTTGAGGCCAGTGAAGAATCACCAAACCAATTTTACCCATTCTCCGAGCAGTTGTTTTTCTTAGCATCCATTTTATAACAAAAATTTAGTCCCGTCCACACGGTAGAATGTGATGGTTTCATGGACATGAGAAAAGGATGAATCCCTTTACAGAAATTTGCCCAAACACACTCTTTAGCTCTCAATTTTCCACACAATTTGCATGAGAATGCAGTCATGTGGTATTTCAATCTTTTAAAATCTATGCTCCCTTCAGCTTGGCAAACACAAGCTACAACATTTAGTCTTGTGAATTTTGTGCCATGCATCTTTGCTACCATATAAAATGTGAATAAATATTCATTCCAGTCTCTCAAACACTGCAACATGAGATTGAAGAACTCGCAGGAGACTGGTAAGCATTGCTTCCAAATCACATTGCCCAGCTGGAGATAATAAACTATCTTCTGAGCCAGTGATTCTGTCTTAAATCTTCTTAATGTGCTTATAATGAAAATGATTTTAAACCTTTAAAGAGAGGCCTATTTCCTTTAGGGATGTTGTTGATTAGTGAAACCAGTCAGCTGAGTAATCAAATTAAATCTGAAAGATGATAGATGCTGGAGCTACTAATTCACTCTTAGCTTTGTTAATCTTTAGACCTAAAATAGCCTAAAAAATCCAAAAAATTCACGAGCTTTATTAAAGAATACTTATTTCATCTGCAAAGGAAGGATGTGAAATTATCATCCGATTCCCATTGTAATATTGATGAGGACATTGACAGAATAATCGGGCGCGTCTACCACAGGAGCCGTAAATCGATGACCATGATTAGAAGTCTTTATTTATAGTCTATTTTTTGTATTTTACTTATTATTATTATTATTATTATTATTTTCAAGTCTTTTCCAGTTTATCCTAATGTTGAGTTATGTGAGTGTTGTAGCTCAAGGGGTATTTTAGTCTTTTGAGTCCTTCATATTTTGAGGCCTTTATATTGAGGCCTTGACTATTGTAGTAAGATGATGATTATTATGAATTGAACTTCAGTTTTTCTGAATTGTGTGTGTTTGAGTCTTCTTGAGAGAATAGCGAAGTCCCAGGAGTGGGGCAATGCAACGCTCAACAACCGATGCCGTGGCAAGGTTCTTGGTTCTATCTTTTCTCCCACTTCACCCCACCTTCCTCCCTTGGTTGCCGAGTCTTCCAAACAGCTGGCCGAAATTCTCTGCTGCCCC